GCTTTTCAAAAACTGGGAGCCCCTTCCCTCTGTGCCCCACCTTCCCTATATATAAATACAAACGCGTTCCCCAATTCCAAACGCCTCCAAATTCCACGGCTCTTGCACTCTCCTCCCTCCGCCGCGCCGCATCGTCGGTAATGGGTATTTGCAGTTCATCGGAATCCACCGCCGTCGCCACCGCTAAACTGATCCTCAACGATGGAACCTTGCAGGAATTTTCGTATCCTGTCAAGGTTTCTTACATTCTTCAAAAGAATCCGTCGTGCTTTATTTGCAACTCCGACGAGATGGATTTCGACGATGCCTTGTCGGCTATTAGTGACGAGGAGGAGCTTCAACTCGGACAGCTCTATTTTGCTCTTCCATTGAGTAGGCTGAAGCAGCCGCTTCAGGCCGAGGAAATGGCCGCATTGGCCGTCAAGGCTAACTCTGCGCTCATGAAATGTGGCGCCGGAGATAAATGCAGCCACCGGAGGAGATCTGTGTCTCCAGTAGTTTTCGCAATTGAGGAACTCAAAACTCGCAAGCGACTGTCCGCCGGCCGTAGTGGCGCCGGTGGAAGAAATAAGTTCGCGGCGAATTTGACGGCGATCCCCGAGTAGGGACAATTTTGGAAAATGGGATGGGTTTGTTTTGTAAATAACGAAAAGACAGGGCCTGGTTCATTATTTCTTTTTATTAATTTTATTTTTACGAAAATGAAGGAAGCTCTAATTTTTTGTTTTTCATAATACCTTTTGGAGTTTATATTGCTATTTTTAAAATTAATTATCTAAAAAAAGGCTATAAATCTCTACAATCATACTCCATTTTTTTTTTACCTTTTAAAGTATTTTTTATGTATAAATATAGTATTTATTATGGAATAAAATATCACACATTTTAAAATTTATTATTTTATTTATAAATTTTAGTATTTTTGAAGGTACATAGTGTCATAAAAAGTGGTGCATATAAATAATAGGTGGTGGATGGACGTTGATACTCACGTCCATTTGTTTTTTTTAGGTACAAATTGGTAATAAATACCAACTCCCATCGACTATTCAATATTTATTATTTCACACCGTTAATTACCATTCAAAAAAAAAAACATTTTAAAACAATAATTTATTATTTAATTCTCTACTATAAATTATTTTGATTATGTCAACCAAATTAAAAATTCTAATTATTTCATTTCAAAATTAAATTAGATTAATTAAGTCAAACTAAGTAAAACCATGCAATTGGGTTTGTCTAAATAAATAATTAATTAAAGTTATCAGATATTAATTCCCCTAACAATGGAGACCGAAAACAAAATGGCTTTTGTGTCACTTATGAAATTTCATAGCTCGTGAGATTCTACACATTTTAAAATTTGACCATGATACATATCGGATAAAAACCTACGATCTCTACTATTCTAGCAGTAGGTTAGGAAACCAACCTTATCAAAAAAAAAAAAAAAAAAAAAACATTTATTTGATTAATGTTTGAGAAAAGTAAAGAAAAAGAAAATTGGGTCCATTTCCTTGCTGTTTCATTTTGTAATTTAGGGTTTTAAGGTCATTCTCTTCTGATAAATAACCATCAACTTTGTTTTCCAGCCATCAATTTTTTGGACACAAATGGTTTTTATTGTCTAGTGGGAATAATAGATAGCTGTGGACCAGTTCATAACCATTTTTTTATTTTTTATATTTTATATTTTATATTCAATCCATTTTTTTAATTTATTTTTATAAATATTATAAATAATTTAAATATTCAAATCTCCACGTACAAAAATGAAATACTCTTAGGCAGATATTGATGGAATAATTTAAATATTCAAATCTCCACGTAATTTTAAAAGGAGTATATTTTTTTTATTTTTTATTTTATTTTAAAAGGAAATAAGAAGAGTTAATTAATACCGTGAACAGATTAGGCAGATATTGATGGATTAGTCGGAGCCAGCTGTAAATCTATATGGAAGTGGACCCAATATTGCGGTCTCATATTATGAGGGGCAATGTAGTAATATTGCGATCATTTCGATCCCAATTCTATTTTTCATTTTTAACAAGTTTTTACTATTAAGCAATCGAAAAGAGAAGTGCACCTTGTTAGTATATGTAATAACTCTATTTTTTTACAAATTTTTTAATTATTATATTATGAAAATTTCTATAATTTAAATATGATATCGGTTAATTCATATATATTTTATTTATTTGAAGGTGATAAATAAGAAGAAGAAGGGAAAGAGAAAAAAAAATTATGGATCAACTTAACATTGACTTGACCAACATTAAATGTGTGCAAGTTGGTGATCATTGTCTCCTAGGCATATACACGTGCTTCATTATCATGCATGTAACAATATAATTTTCATTAAAACAAAGTTCGATTAATTTTAGGATTGATAGATAAAAAAATGAAATATTTAAATAAAATAATGGTGATATTTGAAATAGAATAAAAGTCATTATCAATTACAACCTATATGAGGTAGGTTTTTGAAGCTTTTGGGCTCAATCAAGCACTGGTGGCACTATTTGGGTTAATCAGGCGGGGTCAATTTGGCTCAAGTCGACTTAGTTTGGTTTAAAGTCTATTTGACTTGGTTTAAGGTGGACCTTCGAGGTTTTTGGTTTAATAACTCTTTCTATTTAGACTCAATAAGATCTTAAGTCATGTATAATATTTTTTAAATTTAATACTTAGTCTAAATTTACCCGAACTAATATTATTAATACTAAGTGTATCATATAGCATCTGGTTGGGTGTTTTGCAATTGAATGGGTGTTGTACCACTCTTTTTGGAGTTTTGTGAAAAAATTAAAAGAAACAAAAGTTTATAAATAATAATAATGATAAGAATAAAAAGAAGCCAATCCAGCTGGATTTTCTTAATTTTCTCATAATAATTTTAAATTATCAAATCAATTCAAATTTACTACAAAATTAGTAACGACTTTTTCCCATTTTCATTTTATTTTGCAATAGCTTTGGTAAATATTTAATTGTACAAGATAGAAGTTTATAGTAAAGTGATATATTTATCGTCTTAAATATTATCTATTTAATAATCTAATAATTGAGGCCTTAAAATGAATTATTTTAATTATTGAAATCATCTGTCACGTGCTTAGCTCAACAAATATGGATAATTATTACATTATTTTGTTTTATTTTAGAAGAAAAAGGATAAATATAAGATCTTATTTGTTCTAAAATAATATTTAGATGAGGAAGAATATAAAATAATATTTTGATTTATTGAATTTTGGAAGAATGATGAATGTATCATTCAATCATAATAATTTCAAATTTTCTTAATTTTCTTTTCCAAATATTTTAAATAAATAATAAAATCAGTCCAATCATTTCATCTATCCGGTAAAAATATTTCTTTAATTTTTTTTAAAAAGTTAATCATATTTTTTAAACAATAATAAAATATAATAAAACAAAATTTGGAAGTCAACTCTTTACCTTAATAACACGTTTCATTTATTATTTGAAGGCTATTTCAGTCTCAAGGAAAGGATGAATATCCTTATCCAATGGGAATCTTATGTTATCATTGAAGCCAAACGAGAATATTTATTCAGATGCCCTTTGTGCCCTTTTATTTTTCTCCATATCCCTCTTTATCATGGCTGACATGTCTGTCCTTTTATGTCCACTTACCTTTTTTCTTTTTCTTTTATTTTTCTGTCTATTTTGGATGCTTTCATGACTTTTGAGTAATTAAAAACAAACTTTCAATTGTATATTTAATTAATGTTGAAAATTCAAAATTAATTTTAAAAAATTTATATCTAACAAATCTTTTTAAATTTACAGACTTAATAGGCTATAAAATTGAAATGTTAAATGGAATAATGGGCCCTCGAACTTAGATGTTTTCAAGGCCCATTATTGACTTAAATTGGGTTTCATGAGGACCATAGGCCCAATATAGAGCTGATTTGCAAGTACAGGGAGGAACTGGGTCGGTCTAACAGGTAAGCTAACAAGCTCCGAATGATCTGTACTCACTCTAGTCAACTTGTAACATATGAAATAGAGGTTGAAACGAGTGTATCATGTTAGACGAACACGACTCTCCACAATGGTATGATATTGTCCACTTTGAGCGTAAGCTCTCATGGCTTTGCTTTGGGCTTCTCCAAAAGGCCTCATCCCAATGGAGTTAGTATTCCTCACTTATAAACCCATTAATCGAGGCTCGACTCCTTTGGAGTCTTAGTCATCTCTCATGGCTTTGCTTTGGGCTTCCCCAAAAGGCCTCATCCCAATGGAGTTAGTATTCCTCACTTATAAACCCATTAATCGAGGCTCGACTCCTTTGGAGTCTTAGTCATTTTTGACTGCCTTCGTACCTTCGAGGAGGCTTGACTCTTTTTTTCTTTTTGGAGTCCTTTGTTCAACATTCGAGGATTTGCCAATCTATTGGCACGGCTAAGTTTAGGGCATGGCTCTGATACCATGTTAGACGAACACGACTCTCCACAATGGTATGATATTGTTCACTTTGAGCGTAAGCTCTCATGGCTTTGCTTTGGGCTTCCCCAAAAGGCCTCATCCCAATGGAGTTAGTATTCCTCACTTATAAACCCATTAATCGAGGCTCGACTCCTTTGGAGTCTTAGTCATTTTTGACTGCCTTCGTACCTTCGAGGAGGCTTGACTCCTTTTGGAGTCCTTTGTTCGACATTTAAGGATTTGCCAATCTATTGACACGGCTAAGTTTNGCATGGCTCTGATACCATGTTAGACGAACACGACTCTCCACAATGGTATGATATTGTTCACTTTGAGCGTAAGCTCTCATGGCTTTGCTTTGGGCTTCCCCAAAAGGCCTCATCCCAATGGAGTTAGTATTCCTCACTTATAAACCCATGATCATTCCCTAAATTAGCCGATGTGGGATTTTCATCATTCAACATATCAATTTTTGTAGATGAAAAAATGAATTATTGAAAAACCGCGATCAAAATGTTTTGACTATGATAAAGCCATGTTTATTGACCCAGACAAAACAAGCCATAAAACAAAAAACGGACAAAAGTAACTGAACTATAGGACAACTATAGGACAAGTAAGCTTTGGAGTCCTTGTCACTGTTGGAATTTTTATAGATCTAATGGGATAGAACAACTACTAAACTAATGAACTGATCTTCAAAGTCAAATTTTATTTACAACAAAAAATTTAAAATCCTAGATGGTATAATGCCGTTTGCTGCTCTCTGCCCGGCCAAGATTAGAGAACTGCTATGTACAGAAGGATTTCAGTTCATCATCAACAACATGTAAGCAGCAGCTATGTTCATAAGAGATATCACTTCATTTCTCTACATATCAGATATCGAAAACTGAAGTTGTGCGGTATCCATTCGATGTTCTTGCGAGATTTCCCGTTTTGACATTTCGCAACACTCTTCCTAAGTGATTCGGGCAATGACTTCTGAATCATTTCCATCGTACCAGCCGTGCACAATCTTGATTCTTTCGCAAATGACTCGATCATCTTCGGTAAAATGACTTTTTTGTCCTTGCGTATGCCGAATGTGGCTCGAATGTATTCTTCTTTCGCTGTTTCCAGCTCCTGCAGGACTCTTTTGGGAGTGTATACACGAACCTGGAAGATGGGAACACAAAGTGTCAAACCTTTAGGACAAGAACACATGTAGTTTCACTAATGTTGTGTCAAATACCGCAGGATCTGAATGGCAGCCTGTGCAAAGTGCAAAATGTAAAAGGGGTTCCGACCGGTCGATTTTGTAGGCTTGTCGTTTATCTCCGTTTTTGAATTTTGACTTCAAGGGAATAAGAAGAGAGAGCCACTGCAAACAGAAGAAAGTTGTATCTTAACGTTGACCTGTAACAGTCCAAGCCTACTGCTTGTAGATATTGTCTGTTTTGGTCCGTTACGTATCACTATTAGCCTCACAATTTTAAAATGCATCTACTAGGGAGAGTTTCCACACCCTTAACTGATGTGAGATCTCACATGATCGTACAAACTATGAAGCCATTTACACTTCGTGAGTGACATTGCTTATACTTTTGTCTATAGTGTGTACCTGTCCTGGCCGAGGCACTCGGCATCCAAGTATTGAACTTTGTATGGTGTCGACGCTGATGGTTTGACCTCCTATGTTATATGCAGCCTGAATTGAGAACAAAAGTAAGAACACAATAATCGTATATCATTTACAAATCATAACGGATCATCAGGATTCATGTTTACCTTCAAGAGAACGAAAACTTTCTTCATATTGTTGTGTGGTATACCATAAGCCAAGTATGCCTTTCAGAAAACAGAACAGATATTTTAGTCTGACTGTCTTTGAAGAACTAAAAGGACATGAAGTTCAAGTTATGAAAAATCGTTACATGCATCATCAGTGAATTGTGTACGTTTATCCAGAATGCTAGCTTTTCCTCATGATTCAACTTCATCGGATCAACTTCCTCCAACTTGGATATAAGCGACCTAACGAACGCATATAAGTATACAACCGTTAAATATAAAACGAATAAGAAGCAATCAGTCAATCTGTAACAGCCCAAGCCCACCGCTAACCGATATTATTTCTTTGGGCTTTCCCTTCAAAGGCTTCTCCTCAAGGTTTTAAAACGCGTCTTCTAGGGAAAGGTTTCTACACCTTTATAAGGAATGTTTCGTTTCCCTCTCCAACCGAAGTAGTGTCTAGCTCTGATACCATTTGTAACCGTTCATAGTAGATGCGTTCTAAAACCTTGAGGGAAAGCCTAAAAAGAGAACAATATCTGCAAGAGCTGGGCTTGGGCGGTTAGATAATCACATTCCATCAAACAAAATCTTCTAGCAATGTGACTATGAACATCCACACGTTGCTTACCTGAAATCTTGTAACAAGTGCTCGACTTCGATCAACTTCTGATTATCCCTATAAATCGATGGCACTTCAACCATTGTGCTGTACGGGCCGCTAAACTCTTTAAGACCTTCGACGTGAAAAGGATTATCCAACTTCATATCAAAAGATGAATTGTTTCTGAATCCAGGACTCAACATATCAAATTGATCTTGTGGAGAGAACGCACTGATTGGCGAAGACGACGAGACGGGGGAGGATAAACCATGATGTGATAAAGGAGGATCTGAAAGTTTGCAATATATGGCTGATATGCACTTGATCATATCTTCCGAAAGGCGATTCGCGCTCTCGGGAATATGGTCTAGTATTTGAGTACCAAGGTAGTCTGCTAGACTGGTTAAATTGGATGAAGCATTCCGAGCAAACTGCAGAAAAAGGAACCATAAACAAAGAAGAACAGATATCTATTATGTCTCATAGAGCAAGTTCTTTGATATTGCACTATTATGTCTAGTAAAGTTCCATGTGATGAAACATAAGACAGCTACCTCTATCATGGACATTGGTTGGGATAGACAAGGACGTACAGCTTGACACAAAGAATCATCTGGGAGATAAGTTCTCTTTGAGCTAACTGAATAATATGACAACGACGACTGACAACGACGAACGCGGGAGTCCAACAGCTTGTTTTCACGAATTCCGCTGTATCCCTTCATGGGATTTCCGAAAGAATCGTAGCCCGACTGAACAGCTTTATCTTCCTTTTTCGACGTTATGTCAGGTATGCAATTCATCATATACTTGGATCTTGGGGAGTTTATAGGAGATGTAGAAGATATTTGTCCATCAAATGCTTTTCGATACAACGACAGAAGATACTGTTCTAAATGTGAAACTTCTAGCTCCAATACAGTGATCTCTTTGATCAATTCAGTGGCTGGCTGTAGTCATCAAAGCAGCTTTTAATAGGTAGCCATAATGTAGATTATAACAGACCAAAAATGTCGAGTTACCTTGGCTAGTTCAATGTCGCTGCTCGTGCCGTCCTGACAAGATGGCTTATATCCTAATGCTTTTTCTAGTGATGTGCGGACCTTGAACTGGTCTTGCAGTCTCTTCTCAAGCTGAAGAATCTACATTGCATAGTTTAATAGAAGAATGGTTATCATTTAAGGACTTAACCTTGTTGAGAATTAGAAGATCAATGTTTCTTTGTACCTCTTGCTTAAGAGAAGAGTGTATGTTTGTTTTTGGGAAGCTTTTCTTCTCTGTGTTCATGGATTCCTTGAACGAACTCGTGTCCTAGGATCAGATCAAACCAAAAAAAAAAAACCTTAAAATATGCTAGATTCATTGTCTCTATAAGCTGTCTTTTGGCCCAAATAATAAATGTAAGTTATCTTACCAGCTTCACACGATTTGAAGCTTCAAAGGAGTTATCCAAGTGTTCTTCCTTGTTAGTATCCTTGACCATGTCTAGAAAGCTGCATTGTAAAAAGAGCAAAGAAGAATTAAAATGCAGAAATGGAGAGGATAATACCTTGGCTTGTTAGTTCCATTTGTTAACATTTCATATAAGATCCTTGACCGAGGCAAGATTCGATAATTTACACTGAGCAAGGGCTACAAAAACCGCACTATCCCGAAATCTATTTGTAATGATGTAACAGCCCAAACTCACCGGTAGCAGATATTATCCTTTTTGAGCTTTCCATCAAGGTTTTTAAAACGCGTCTGCTAGGGAGAGGTTTCCACACCCTTATAAAAAATGTTTTGTTTCTCTCTCCAACCAATGTGGGATCTTACAATCCACCCCCTTCGGAACTCAGCGTCCTTGCTGGCACACTGCCTTCAGGGCTTAGCCTCCTCACTGACACATCATCTGGTCTCTGGCTCTGATACCATTTGTAACAATCCAAGCCCACCGTTAGCCGCTATTGTCCTCTCCGGGCTTTCCCTTTCGGGATTCTCCTCAAGGTTTAAAACACGTCTGCTAGGGAAAGGTCTTTCACACCCTTATAAAAAATGCTTTAGGAGAGGTTTCCACACCCTTATACAAAATGCTTCGTTCTCCTCCCCAACCGATGTGGGATCAGGCCATTAACTTCCCTTCTATATTCTCTAGGTAGCTCATAATTCCCCAAAACTCAAAGTGAAACAGTAATTTAACACCCATTTTCTCCATTCTCCCACAAGGATAGCAAAAGTAAAGAGACTGAAACAGTACAAATATTACAGATCTGTAGAAGCAGAAGAAAAGGAGGAAGACAAAAGGTGAGCTAATTGTCAAAAGTTTCCAAACCCAACCTCATTACTAATCTCAGAAAAATGATGCTTGAAAAAAATTAAGAAAGAAGAACTTATTAAGCTCTTGGAGCAGAAAACCGAGATCTATGTCTTCAGACATCTGATTTCAAAGTTTGGTAAGCCGACAGAAACCAATTGTCAAACTCCTTCACTATTCAACCAACTAAGAAGCTTTCCAGTCCAAGTTCACATCAAGTGTTCAGAACAGAATGAACAATCATTGCTAAATAACAAAACAAAGCATCAGAAGCTAACCTCTTGGAATGCTTGTGTAGTGGAATCTGTCTGTTTTGTAGCATTTTTGCACCGCCGTCAGTCTCCTGAAACAGCATCTCCGAGTTTCAATACTATCAGTAAACCATTAGTTAGGGGAAAAAAGAATCAGCAAAAGAAGAAGGAGGCTTGTAAAGGACATTACCATACCATAAACAAACAAGTTGATATCACAGAGTTAGGAAGTTGAAGAAGAAATGATATCAGAAAGACAGTCGAACACCAAATGGGTAATAAAACTAAACTCCAAAGCTTCCTTCATTCGCCATTATTCAGAAGAAACAGAGCCAGAAAGCGATGATGATACGGCACTTCACAACACGAGCGTTTGAACAAAAGGCAACAGAGCTGAAATGGGGTTGCATAAAACCCACAAATGTAGCTATAAAAAAGAAGCTTTATGACCAATGAGCTTCACAAAGAAAGTGATTCACTCTCTGAAAAATCTTGTATGGCTTTTGGTAAACGAAGGGCTTTTGCATTAAAAGGGAAGAAAGCAAGCTGTGAGGAAGAGAGCTTTAGTTGAAGAAGAAAAAGAAAGATAACAAAAACATTCATGCTTAGTAGACCCCTTAAATGTCAAAGTGTTGTGAAAGTGGACAACTTTTCATGACCCGCAAACCGAAGGCGAGTAAAACGCTTAGCAACTTCACTGATTAGAGGCAAAATAAAATACACTAAAATGACAAACAAATATCAATAATTCCAATTTTTTTTCCATTTTTAGGATCCCCCATTAGCCCCAAATTCCACATTCTTTTCTCTTGTTGGCGAGTCAGTGGGAGTTGGTGACCGCTCTCTCCTACCTTGTCCTATTTTCTTACATTTGTTTTGGTTTCCTCTTCAAAACAAAGCCCAAAACATGGTACTGGTCACATGGGTGGATATCATTTTCTGAATTCGAAGTACACCATTGGTGAAATTTTGATATCTACTATTGGGCAGAGGCTGGAATTTGTGCACACCCTTTTGAATCTACAAAGAAAAAAACGAACTTTTTTGTTGTGGGTGATTTGGAATGTGAAAACTAGCAAACAAACAGAAGGTTTGAGGTAAAAGAAAAGTAGGGGGTGACCTCAAAAGGAATGAAAGGGGGATTTGTGGGGTTCCTATTTGTTTAAATGCCCTTTAGTTTTAGAAAAATTTGAAGATACCCACATTGTCTTTCAGCATCCAAGAAACTAACTTTTGTCACAGAATCCTCAAGTATTAATTAAAGAAGAAAGAGAAAGATTTCTTCTTTTCTTCTTTCTTTTTTCTTTTTGGTTAAAAACAATGGGATTTCTGGGAATTGACCTTCTCTGATATCGATGCAGACAAGAAAAGGAAGGCCTTGTGCGTGGATTAAGTTGGTGAGGTCTCTCTTTTTGTCGTCATATTCACTTGCTTAGCTAAAAGGGACACTTTTTTTTTCCTTTTTTTCCCTTTGTTCTTTCTTTGAGAGTGTGTGTGTGTATGTATGAACAGGCAAGAGATTGCAAAGGGGAGTAGGAATCTGATCTGCATTGCTGTTTTTAATGTTGAGAACAAAGTCAAAATCTGGGGAATTGGGTTGTGGCCTCAAATGGGTATCGATCTGATTGGTTAATTGTTCATAATTTATATTAAGAATCTGACAAAATGGTTAGTTTTGTAGCGTTCTTACTCCAAGTCCACGTGATGAACTCCTTCCATATGAAAAAAAGAGGTTGATTTACTCTTTCAATTCACATATACTTTTGTCTAAGTACCCATTTCTTTTTTTCTTTCTTTTTTTTTTTTTTTTAATCAACCAATCAATCAACGGTAAAAAGTACATTATTGGTGTACATTGAAGGTTTGCGATTATAATATTGTGATGGAACATAGTCTCAAGCCAGAAGGGCCATGTTATTATTGGTGTTGATGGGAGTATGGTCAAAGGTTGTGACATCACACTTCGGTTGGAGAGGAAAATAAAACATTTTTTATCCGGCTTGGAAACCTTTCCCTAACAAATGAGTTTTAAAACTTTGAGATGAAGGCCAAAAAATACGATATCAACTAGTGCTCAGAGAGGAAAGCCTGAGAGTGCATCTATTTTAAAATCTTGAGGAGAAACCCAAGAGTGAAAACCAAAAAGGACACTATTCGCTAGTGGTGGGCTTGAGTTGTTACATAAATCCACCTTGAGGTGAAGCCTAAAAGGGAAAAGAAAACAATATTGACTCAATTGTGCGCTTTAAAACCTTGAGGGGAAGCACAGAAAAGAAACTCAAAAGGAGAATATGTGCTAGTGGTGAGCTTGAGTTGTTATCGGGAAACTAAAAAGGACAATATCTGTCAGTGGTGGGTTTAAATATGTGCGTCGAAACATCGGGAAGACCTATAAAAAAATACTCACACTGTAATAGTGAATAGTAATGTGTATCTCCATAATAGGATGAATCTCCTACCATCTCTGAATAAATTCATACGTAACGATGGAATAAGTAAGGGAAAAGGGAAAAAGTGGATATAGAGTCTCAACATATATGATATAATATTAAAGAAAAGTTGAAAACTTTCCAAATGCAATTGGACAATCAAGTCTATGCCAATCATATCCACCAAAGGCATCTCTTCCTCTCACTAAAAAGTGAAACTTCAAAATACCTTCCAACAGCTTATGTTTTTCTCACAAAAAATGCTTTGTTTCATTATGATTTTTGGTAATTTAACGTTAGACCTTAAAAGTTTTAAATGTCATTAGGTTTTGTTTTAGTATTCAACTCTTATCTGTTTAGTTTTGCCATGAAAATTTAGGTTAAGTTATGTTGAAGTTTGGCGTAAAGTTCCTACAACAAAGAACAAATAGGAGCCACAAACAAAGTGGTTGAATCTTATGCTAAGTTTGTCAAAAAAGGAGTGTATGCTTTTATTGAAGTTTGGCAAATGAGCTGTCCTTTGCTTTCCGATAAAATATTATAATGGGCTCGAACTCACCATTTCCGTTTTCATCTCGAGACCATTTCGAGGGAATCCATTAAATTAAGATTAGGAGAGATGATCTCCCGAACGAGAAGAAATTGAATTCATATGTTCGATCCATTGCTTCCACTCCTCTTCCATACGACCAACATGCGACTTAGAAGTCAATGTACCTTAATAAGTTAATTGTTAATTTTGATCACAAAAATAATTAGCATATTTTGATAGCAACATTTATAATTGCATATGCACATTGAATTTTATTGTTGAGTGTTAGCTGGATCTAAGGTGGGTTATTTATTTACTAATTATTTTTAAATACGTTTTAGGTAAATACAAAAAACATAAAAAGTAAAAGAAGTGTATGCTAACTGAGTCGTGTAGTTCGTGTTAACATACTTCTATGTTTCTTTTATCCCAACTCGTGTTTTTTTGGTAGGTAAACTATGCCATTTTGACATGGAGTCCTCAATACCATTAATAAGTATCAAGTTTATCATGCATTTTATGTTGTATTCATCTAAATTATGCATATTCTTAGTCAACAAGTGACTAACCATTACCAAAATTGACTCTTTCCCACTATTATTATTATTATTATATTTGTATTTATCGAGCATTTGTATTAGAGGATTCGATTCACTCTCCAATTGTTGTCAACCATTTTTTTTCTCTTAGTTTTCAGTTTTGATTGTCTTGCTTAAACAATGAACGGTTACATTATTTGTGAGATCCCATGTCGGTTGGAGAAGAAACGGTATGGAGACTTCTCCCAACATATGCCTTTTCAAATCGTAAAGCTATGTAAGACAATATCTATTAGTAGCGAGCTTGAACTATGTAAAAAAAAACGAAATTTGTAATTTAGGGTATTAGACGGAGGAGATTTAGTTGAATTGTTTTCTTAATTGTCATGAAATTCAGGAAGAACCTGTTTTTTTTTTTTTTTTTAATTAAATAAATAAATAAATAAATAACTAAATAAACAAAAGTATGAAATGTAAAATTTAAATTAAAGTGAAGGAATTATTAACCTGATTATTTTTATAAAAGAATTATTAATTTTTTTATAGTTAAAATTGGAAAGGAATATTTTAAAGAAAGAAAGGAGGGGTAAAAGAGGAAATTAGAAATTACAGATATTATGTTGTTGAGAAAATTGAGTTATTGAAATGAGTTGTATTTGGGGAGAAATGAACAAAAAGGAGTAAAGATAATTGTAATTAGGAGTTTTAAGTTACGATAATGGAAGTGGTTCCTTTGTCCGATGTTCAGCATGTTAGGGATGACTCTGATTCTGCTCAGATTTCTGGAACTGCTTCGTTTCATGACGGACAATCAAACAACTGCGTCGATCCTCAACAACAACCAGCGGGGATGGCAAATGGTGGACTCAATGACTCATCGGTGAATGTTGAGGCCGCACAAATTAACAGCAAATGTGATGTTCAAGGGGTTCCTCAATATTTGCCTGCTTCTGGTCACTCTAGTTCGGATTCATATTCTAACTATCAGATGGATGCCCAAAAAGCATCTTCTGGTTCCCCCGACTCCGAATTTGATGATGCCAACACCGATAATTACTCCACGGAATCGTGTTTAGCATCTGAAAACTCTCGTATAGTTGTGGATACCATTGACGATGAATTGCCTAGCAGCAGCAAAGCTGAGGAGTTGTCTGTTTCGGGGCCAGAGCCAATGTGGTTGGAAGGGGATGAATCTGTGGCGCTTTGGGTGAAGGTATCTGCCTACCCTAATATCCAAGTTCTCAATTTCTTCCTTTACTTCTAATCTCTTTTTGTATGTATGTTTTTTTTGGGGGGTTATCCAGTATGCATGTATGCTTAGTCCCAATTTTTTAATTTTCATTCTTGAGTTGTTAATTCAGCAAACTTAATAGTGTTCCTGCAGTTGTCCTCTGTGCTCTGCTGTCCAAATAGTATAGTCATTATAATTCTGTCATATGTACTCTAATTACTTCAATTTTCTTGGTTCTTGCATGAGTCTTGACATCAAATATAATTTTAATCAGTATTACATGCTTACATAATGATGATTGCTAGTCATAGGCTTCTTTGGAAGTTTAAGTAAGAGCTAGTTCCTGACTGCCGTTCGAGTATCTTGGATTAGTACGGATGGACTTGGAATAAGAGGGACCACCTTCCTGTCTGTGGTCGACATGTTCAATTGACCTCTAGGCTCTAGAAATTTTTGCAGCTACAGATTTTAAAGTCTTCCTGTCCTGCTCACCCTTTGTGTTTTGATGCATTATGATGTATTCTCTTGATCTTTTTAAATCTATCAGACCGTTGGCGCTGATTGGTCGTCTGATTGGATTTTTTTGAATGCTTATTCTGATGATTTCCAGGGTGCTCCTGTATTATTTTCTAGAAAGGAATTCATGGAACAAATAACTACAACTGGTTATGAGGAGCCTAAAGAGGCATAGGATAAAATACATTGTTGGAGTTGGTGGAATTCCTGAGTGAGTTAGGTTAAGTCACGCTGTCATTGGACTTAGAAGCGGGAGCCCATTTTTGATTTAATAATACTACTGGCTTGTCACATTTTTTCATCAATGTAAAGGACATAGGACTGTAATGAGAGGTGAGGGAAAGGATCTATACTCTATATCACATTTTACAAGCTTGATTTTGGGAGGGAGGACAACAGGTTAACTTCAGTTGTTTAAAAAATAGGTCATTTGTTTTTACAAACTTAACTGAAACCAGAAAACAATTTTTAAAGAATAGTTACTCAAATATATTCACTATTTTTGTGAGATCCCACATCGGTGGAGAGGGGAATGAAACATTCCTTATAAGGGTGTGGAAACCTCTCCCTAGTAAATGCGTTTTAAAACCGTGAGACTGACAGTGATACGTAACGAGCCAAAGCAGACAATATCTGCTAGCGATGGGCTTGACCTGTTACAAATAGTGTTAGAGCCAGACACTGGGCGGTGTGCTTGCAAGGACGCTGGGCCCCCAAGGGGAGTAGATGTTGAGATCCCACATCCGTTGGAGAGGGAAACGAAGCATTCTTTATAAGAGTGTGGAAACCTCTCCCTAGTAAACGCGTTTTAAAACTGTGAGGCTGATAGCGATACGTAACGAGCCAAAGCGGACAATATTTACTAGCGATAGGCTTGGACTGTTACAATTTTCTTGCTCTAAGAAAATAGAGATTTCTTCACTTTATAGATTATCTCATTGGGTTTGATCCTTCATTCCTGTTCACTGTGGGTTAATGTCGCCAATACAATTATATTGAAAATATCAGTACTTTCGTCTGTTTTGTTCTGTTCATTAAAAGGCCTTCTGTTGTATTGTATCAACTAATGTATTATGGTTTGAGTTTATTTTCACTTTGAAATTTTTTCCAAGTATAGTGGCGAGGGAAGTGGCAGGCTGGAATTAGATGTGCAAGGGCTGACTGGCCATTATCTACTTTAAAAGCCAAGCCCACACATGACAGGAAGAAGTATTTTGTGGTTTTTTTTCCACACACAAGGAACTATTCGTGGGCAGATGCATTGCTTGTTCGTTCTATTGAAGAATTTCCTCAGCCTATTGCATACAAGAGTCACAAAGCTGGTTTAAAATTGGTTGAAGATATAAAAGTTGCAAGGAGATTTATAATGAAAAAACTTGCTGTTGGTATGCTGAATATCATGGACCAATTTCACCTCGAGGTTTGTAAATGGTCCACACTTCTGTAGTCTGTTTATCATTGTAATGAGTTGTTATTATCCTGCTTTATTAATTTTTAAGACGTGATCAATTTAATGGATGCAGGCTCTGATTGAGAGCGCACGTGATGTAATGAATTGGAAGGAATTTGCCATGGAAGCTTCACGCTGTAATGGCTATTCTGATCTTGGTAGAATGCTTCTGAAGCTGCAGAATGTAAACTTCTATTCTTCTTGATGGTATATGAGATTGAAATAACAAAAATTTTATTTTGTTTTCGTGGATTCTTATTTCATGTTTTTGGTGATCTGGAGTTTATACCAAGTGCTTTTTCAATTGTATCTGATTTAGATGCACCACTATATCTGGCCCTTAAATACCTTTTTTTGTGGCATCCATTTATTATGATACAAATACTAAAGGCTAGCATAGATTATTTCCAGGAAAGATCAAGGAGACTAGGAGAGCCATATATTTCCATTTGATAATTTGATGTGGCTGACAAGTGTTAGCAATGACATGGAAAAATAATTAGAATGCTTATAGTTCTCTTTGATTTGTTTTTTTTTTAGATCGAAAATCAATCAGGGCTATTCAATTTGCCATATGTGCAAACTGCATAATTTTTTTCTTTTTGTACAAACTGGTTTAAAATGAAATGATTTTGTTTCAATTGGTTGGGGTTTTCTGTTTTGGGCCTCATTCACACATTTGGTTTGAATCTGAAAAGGCATGCTTCTTATTTTGCACAACATTTATGACTCAGGCATACATGACCTTTGCAATGCATGTTGGACATTTAGGTCCATTATAGTTCTTGATTTATAACATTTTTTTTGATAGTATGTATGTACTTTTGAAAGCTACAATAGGGGGAAAAAAAACTTTTATTTATTGTTTTTCCTTGAATTTGAAAATGCATTTAGTAGCATAAATTAAAAACTGGAAAATTGGGTGTTGAATTTTGGAAACATAAAAAGGGTGTTTGTTTGGTAGGATCCAATGTTTTAAAACTATAAAATTGATTTTTTTTTTCCATTACCAAAATAAATAGAAAGGTCTATGTTTATTCTAGGTTTTGTCTGTGTTTTAAACATGAAGCTTCATTTTTCAGAAAACCTCACTTTGTGATGCATAATTTTGAAAACATGAGAAGAATGTTTTATAAAATTGACACAACTGTATTACTATTTTTCAAATAATTCTCAAACGTAAACTCAATATATCTATAACATATTTGTATTAAAAAATATGAAAATGAAAATGGATTAGATTCCGAAAGGATTCTTACATTTGAATTATGATTCTAGGCTTTTTTCTGGCTCAATTCCACAATTTTCTGTGTGTCATCTCATGTTTATTCTAGGTTCTTTTTTTTTTTTTTTTTTTCCTGGCCCAATTGCACAATTTCCTGTGCCTTCTTTTCACAATGTTTGTACTCTACGGTTCAACTCCTAGCTCTCAACTAAGGATGGTGATAAACTAATGTTTGCCCCTTTGCAGATGATCCTGCNATGCTTCGTAAATCCAGATTGGCTTCAAAATTCTTTGCATTCTTGGGTACAGCGATGTCAAAATGCTCAAACTGCAGAAGTTATTGAAATGCTCAAGGAGGTAATGCCTTACCCGAGTACCTTGTTCTTTTTTCCCCATATCTCTGCCTGTCTCGCACATGTTTTGATGGAGAATGAGGGGAAAAATGAAGTGGTAGAAAGGGGGGAAATTTTCAGTGATGAACCAACCTTGTTCTTTTTTCCCCATATCTCTGCCTGTCTCAGCACATGTTTTGATGGAGGATGAGGGGAAAAATGAAGTGGTAGAAAGGGGGGAAATTTTCAGTGACGAACCTGTCCCTTTTTTTTTTTTTAGATGAGAAATAATTTCATTGATGGTATGAAATTACTGAAAAATAGGAAGACCACATTAGGATAGTTACGAAGGCTTCTCCTATTGGATAGGAGGGTAGCAAATCTATAGTGGTTGGAGAGCATGTCCTTTTTATTTTGATAGGAGAGCATGTCTTTTCCTTCCTGTTCTTTTCTCCCTTGAGGGAAAGAAAGAACATCCAGTTTTTGTTTCACTTGATGAAAGAGAAAATAATGAAATAGTGTAACCTAAGTGGGATGGACATAGAATAAAAACGACGAAGAGAGAGCTCACCCTATGCATTTTTTCTTTATCTGTACAAGACACTTTACAGAAACATTTTACATCCTTTTTTAAAATTATCAAAGGAACAAGCCTCCTTGTAAACTTTTGGAAAAAGTTCTTTCTCGTTAGTACTCACTTTCTTCCTTGCCTACAAAATGGTTTGGATCTCTTTAAATGGAAACTTCACCCTTAGACTAGTTTAAATTAACTACCTTAAAGTTTGATAAGTTCTTAACATCAAGAGACTCTGTCCATTTAGGGTTTGGAATTTAAATCTAATTTCCTTAATATGGGTTCCCTATCTCTTGGCTTTGGCCCTCAAGAATCCATGTTCTTGCGTATTCTTCATGATTTGGATTATCCTTGATTCTTTACAACCGCATGCTCGTTCAAATGTCCTAGATTCATTGGGAGTTCATTACAAATGAATCTTTTTTGTTGACACCTTCCTTGATCCACACAACTACCTTATCTCCACCTTGGACAAGATATCCTTAGATTTGGCTTCAAAGATTTCCCTCACTTGTTTTATCCATTTAAACGATTCGTAGGTTCAACTTAAATTTCATATCTCACAGATTTGCCAGTTCATTTGCCCATCACATGCTTGCTGTTTGCTGCTCGCCTTTGTGTTCAACATTATCTTGCTTGCATGTTACCTTCTGCTTCATGGTTTGAGCTGCACCTTTGCATGTGTGCATCTCCATGCACACTGCCAGCCCATGGTGCTGTGTGCACAATCGCACTTTTAAAGGCAGCGGACTAGCGATTGTGCGGCACTCACTTTCCAACGACAAGTGAGCTAAGCCAATTTGTTCTTGCGTCGCCTACGGCCAAGCGACGTATGATCGAGCCTCTAGCCTCGGTTTTAAAAGAAGGTTTTAGAAAACAAGGGTAGAGAGAGATTTTAGAAAGAGAGATTTTTGAAAGAGACGTTATATAAGCAAGCAAGAGAGAGATAGCAATGGCTTAGCATATATAACCTTGGGTAGGGAGAAGTTGACAACTAGTCATATCCCCCTATAGTACATCCTGAGGCATTTCATGTCTGGCAGGCCTAGACATGATATTTTTGAGGCGTCATATGCCCTAGAACTACAAAAGTAAAAACACTAGAATGAAAAGACATGACAAGGGTTTGGCTTGCCATGGGCATGCGGCCATGGGCAACACGCCCTGGACGAGCATGGCCGTGACACTGTGCCTACACTGCAAGAACGGTGCACGTAGCTTAGTGCATGGAGCCTCAATTCTTAAATTCTGCACAACTTTTCCATGCTAGTCACGACTTGTTGGGCATCCCTAGAACAGTTACTTGGTCAAGTATCTCTCTTATGTCTTCTTGTAATGCTGGAAGTGTAATGGCAGAGGTGCTTTTCTCTTTCCTTCATTTACCTACTAATTTGAGGGCTGCCGGTCTCTACCCTCCTTCATTGGTTGCTACTTGCTAATAGGTGTCTATATAGGAAGTGGTCGGGAAACATGGTGTTTTCTCATCCTCAATGATCATTTTTCTCCAAATATTGAAGCAAGGACACCTTTACCTTCATGAAAAACATTAATGTTTAAAATCAAATCAAAATGAGATTGTAAGCTCCTTCCCAAGCTCCAATGCTGAGATTAGTATTAACCATTCTTGGTTTAGCTGAACCACGGATTTAACATCTTTGACGTTTGAAGTTGTCTGGCCTACCTCATAACTTCTAACCATCCATCATCCACAAAGGAATGCAGTTGTTGGTTTCCATGATATCAGATATTGCTTTTATGTTCCTGCCAAACAAACAGCAAGTTGCCTTTGCTACAAGTAACGGATAGATTAGGAAAAAGGAAATTCCAAACCTTGACAACTTGTTTGCAACCCAAATGCATAGATTGTAGATTCTGGGCTAATTATTTGGAGTCCATGGTCCCGCCTCATTCTTGAGCCGCTTTTAGATGATTGTAACCTGTATCACGTTTATTTTTCCACTGTCCAATTGCCTTAAATCAGTAACAAATAGATTAGGAAAAAGAGAAATGTCAAATTTTGACAACTGTTACCAAGCCCAAATGAGTATGAGTTGTAGTTTTAGGACATTTATCTTTGTAACCCACACATTCTTGAACCCTAACAAATTTGCTTTTAAATGGTCACAAACTTCATATAGCAGTCATATTTGGCTACAAGTTTGAAGCACATTCTTTAAAAAAAAAAAAAGTTCTCCAAGAAACAGCTGGTGGATGCTTTATTAAATGTTTTATTCTCAATTTATTACACTTAAATCACATATTCTTTTGCTATCAATTTTCTTAGAAAAATATTCACGAGTGTCTTGGACTAGGTTATGGGCATTTTAACCAACTTTCCAACCTTATAACATTTGTTTCGGTAGTTGAAAAACTTGTAAAAGTTTGATGTTCTGGTAGGTGGCCACCCTTCTCAATCATGAGAGTTTTCAACTATTATGTGTAGTGATTGCCATTGCAGTTTCCCTTGTGTGTTACGTTAATTTGTTTAAACTTCTTTGAGTTGCTTTCCAATCTCTGTCCAAACCTTTTCCCCCTGAGAAATGAGAAATTTCCGTTCATACCCTCGTTAGTTACCACGGTAATCAATATTACTCCTAATCTCACTTCTTTCAAAAATCTCCTGCACATAAAACAATAAAATAAAAACTATAGTATTTTAACCGTTTAACTTTAGATTACACAACCACCCTAAAACTGAAAATCTAAAAGTTGAAATTCCCCAAATCACACACAACTACTCTTCAAATTCAATCTTGATTTTTCAAATTGGACTTACAATCAGACAATTGAAGTTCTACTAATCAATCTTCAAAAAGAACCTTCACTGCCTTCTCTGTAATTTCTAACACTGGTAGAACAACATTGATATTGATTCTCATTTGCCTCTCAAATAATTTGTACATCATAGATATTCATATTGATTATACATTCATTTATCAATTATCTTTAACTAAATTACGTATGTCAATGATTTTCATATTAATTATGCATTCATATATATATATATATATATCAATTAATTATACATTAAATCTCAACAATATTCATATGCTACCAATATCAGCAAAGCCTAAAAGATTACGTACAACCACACATTGTACCCCCTTTGAGGCAATCAATATTCATCACTATCATTTAGCATATTTTCTTTTCATCATCTAAAGAATACAAGATAAAATGTATCTAACAAGATCGTACCTTGTTAAAGAAAGAATTTACAATATTTTTTTTAAAGAAAAGCTTCATGGAGTTGGTATCTTTTGGGCATCAGTCTCTTTTTATCTTTTCAACTAAAAGTTTTGTTTCTTGTTAAAAAAAAAAAAAAATCGAATGTTATAGCTGAACTTCCACAAATTTATATACTATATTTAGCACACCATACAAATAATCACAAGAATTGTTTCTATCCCCCCAAAAAGAAAGAAATTTAAGACTTGCCTCGTAGCAGAGCCAAAAACTAGAAAGAAAAAACTTAAAACTTCAACTAACAGTCAAAATTTACCCCCTGTGCAGCAGCTTAATAGCTCTTTGGAACCTCCTTTTCTTTTCTCTCTCTCTCTCTCTCTCTCTCTTTTTTTTAAAAAAAATTTAATAATTCATTCGTGGTAACTTTCTGATTATTTCTAATTATGTAGAGACAGCATCAACTGCTTAAGTTCTTTCTTCTTATTAGGAAATAAAGAAAAGTGGTATTGAGAAATAAGCTTTTGTTATCCAGTACTGATGGCCAAAAGCTAATGCTATATCAAAGGTTCAGTGATCTAGTTTTCTCTTGCCTTTTATAGGAATTGGCTGATGCTATTTTGTGGGACAAAGTGAAATCCCACTGTGATGCGCCAGTGCAGCCTACTTTTAGTTCTGTGTGGAAAACCTGGAAGCATGAGGTTACAAAATGGTTTTCAATATATCCCACTCTTCCCATTAGCAGAGACAAGGAGCAGCAGACTGTTGAAGCTTTCTTAGCTACAGCTCTCGAAGTCAGCAGGAAGAGGCCCAAGCTTGAAATTCGTCGTGCAGAGACTCAGGCTTCATTGATGGAATCAAAGTGCTCAGATGAAGCTATGGCTCCTGATAATGATTCTGGTTTTTTCAATAACCAGACTAGTTTAAATGCTAAATTAGGATCTGAATCTCACAAAGTAGAGGTAAGGGAGATTGTTACATCAGCAGGCCCACTCAGTATTGTACCTGGTAGGTTGGCTGGGATTGTAGCTCAAACTGGAAGTTTGGATCTAGCCTCTTGCAAGGATGTGGAACTGAAACCTCATACTGAAACAGCTACAGAAAAACTCTTACATTATGGTAATAAGAACCGTCAATGCATAGCTTTTATTGAATCCAAGGGAAGGCAGTGTGTTAGATGGGCCAATGAGGGTGATGTTTACTGTTGTGTGCATTTATCCTCTCGTTTCACTGGCAACAATGATAAGAAAGAACAGACTCGTTCTGTTGAATCACCAATGTGCCAAGGTACTACTGTTCTTGGAAGTAGGTGCAAGCATCGATCTCTATTTGGCTCCTCATTCTGTAAGAAGCACAGACCAAGGAGTGAAACGAACATGGAGTCAACTTCCTATGAAAATAAGCTTATTGAGAAGCAACAGGATATTTATAGAGTAGAAGACACCCGTAATAAGGAAATAAAGTTTGACAGAGATGCTGGAAATCCCCTTGGAGTGGACGAGGGTGATGTGACCAATAATGGAAATAGCTCATCTGACAAACTTGAGCATCATGGAAAAGATTCTATTGCCTCAGAAGTTCGACACTGTATTGGTTCTTCCGAACATATTGACAGCAATCCATGTTTAGAAAGCCCAAAACGTCATTCTCTATATTGTGAAAAACACCTTCCTAGCTGGCTTAAACGTGCAAGAAATGGTAAGAGTAGAGTAATATCGAAGGAAGTATTCATGGATCTTTTAAGAGACTGTAACTCAGAAGAGCAAAAGATAAATTTGCATCAAGCCTGTGAGCTATTTTACAGGCTTTTTAAAAGTATTTTATCACTGAGGAATCCAGTTCCTATGGAGGTTCAATTTCAGTGGGCACTTTCTGAAGCTTCTAAAAACTTGGGAGTTGGGGAACAGTTTATGAAATTGGTTTGTCATGAAAAGGAAAGATTAAAAAGGTTATGGGGGTTCGATGCTGAAGGAGCACAACTTTCCTCACCTTCGATGGAAGTGCCAACTGCAGGGCCATTATTAACTTCAGGTAATTGCAATGATGGTTCGAGTATCAGATGCAAAATTTGCTCTGAAGAATTTCTTGATGATCAAGCACTCAGTACTCACTTCATGGATGGTCATAAAAAGGAAGCGCAGTGGCTGTTCAGAGGTTATGCTTGTGCCATCTGCCTTGATTCGTTCACCAATAAGAAAGTTTTAGAAACTCATGTGCAGGAGAGACACCATGCACCATTTGTTGAGCAATGCATGCTTCTGCAGTGTATTCCTTGTGGCAGCCATTTTGGGAATACGGAACAATTATGGTTACATGTAGTTGCTGTACATCCCATTGATTTTAGATTGTCAAATTCTACTAGGCAGCATAATTTTTCGTCTGGTGAGGATTCCCCAGTCAAACCCAAGGAGTGCAATATAGTTTCTAAGTCGAATGATAACAAGAATGTAGGTGGTTTACGAAAGTTTAATTGTAGGTTCTGCGGTTTGAAGTTTGATTTACTGCCTGATCTTGGTCGCCACCATCAAGCTGCGCACATGGGTCCAGGTTTAGCTAACTCCCGAACTGCAAAGAGGGGATTTCATTATTATGCTTATAAATTAAAATCTGGGAAACTTGGTCATCCTAGATTTAAGAAGACTTTAGCGGGTGCGTCAAACCGGATCAGAAACAGAACAAAAGCTAGCATGAAAAAACATATTCAAACTTCAAAGTTACTAAGCACAGGAAGCATAAACCTTCAACCTCATGAGTCCCACTTAGCAAGTTCTCGTAAATTGACCCAAGGTTCAACTGTTTCGAAGGCATTGGTTTCCGAGATTCAGAAAATAAAATTATTTCCTACCAATGTTGACATTTTGTCTATTGCTCACTCTGCCTGTTGCAAGGTCAATTTTAAAGTTCTTCTGGAACAGAAGTTTGGAGTATTACCTGAATATTTTTATCTCAAGGCAGCTGAATTATGCAGGGAAAAAGTTAACTGGTATATCAAGGGATTTGTCTGTCCTAAAGGTTGTGAGACACTTAAGGATCCTCTTTTGCATCCCAATTTGATGCCTCATCCAAATGGTTTTGGAGGCCACAAGAATGCACACACTCCTGGTCCAGTGAGTAGCAAATGGGAAGGTCATGGATGCAGTTATGCCATCGGTTCTCATCTTTCTAGCCAGCAGCTTAAGGAAACGGCCGTCATTTTATGTGAAGATATAAGCTTTGGCCAGGAATTTGTTCCTGTGGTCTGTGTAGCTGACGAAGGTCTAAGGAACTCACCTCACATATCTCTAGCTAACTCGGATAGTCAAGAAGTTGGATACTCCATGCCTTGGGAGAGTTTTACCTATATTAAGAAATCATTGCTCAATAAATCTCTTGCCATTGATACGGAGGTAGTGTATGTGAATAACTTTGTCTCGTGACTAATGCTAAACTGATATACTTTCTTGATTTTAACGCACTTTCTTTTTCTTCAATATGAAAGTTATGTTGATTAATTGTGAGTTATCTTATTATGTTATTGTTCATGACACATCTGTTCTTATTTCTAGTGTTTATCATGGAGGTCCTTATGATTTTACTACCAAATGGGTTGGTATAGATTTCCTTATACAATCTGCATATGCATCCTTAGTTGAGAGGGCTGACATATATTTTATTCGTTTGTGCCATCAAGGATAATGCTATTGTTGTGGCTTTGGTGGGCATTAAAGTACTAATAATATATAACTTCTGAGCACCGTTTCTGAATAAACCTAATTTTGATTCTATATTTTCAACGTATACAATGTAAAGTCACTTTTATGTTTGACATTTTGCCCAGAGTTTGCAGTTCGGCTGTGCCTGTGCTCATTCACTTTGTTCGTCTGAAACATGTGATCATGTATACCTCTTTGATAGTGATTATGAAGACCCAAAGGACATTTATGGGAATCCCATGAGTCGCAGGTTCCCATATGATGAGAACGGTCGTATTATTCTGGAGGTTTGTGACACTATTTTCCAGCCAACACAGCCCCGTTTCTTGATCTACTGCCATGCTCTGTATATTATTCATTAATTATTCCCCCTCTTACACTATTTTCCAGCCAACACAGCCCCGTTTCTTGATCTACTGCCATGCTCTGTATATTATTCATTAATTATTCCCCCTCTTACTTCGATTTTACTTTAACTTGATAATTTAAATACTCATGTTTATTTGTTGCTTGGCAACGACAAATTTGTTCTTTTCTTCTTTATATGAAATATAAATGTGTCTTAAGTGTGCTTTGTTGACATTAAATAAACTTGCAGTCTCTTTGGATTTTTATTCATTCATCTGTTGTTGTATCATCTTCTCTTGACCATTACGAAGATAATGGTCTGGTTCTTAATAGTCTGACTTTTAAAACGTTAATCCTTTTTTCTGACCTTTTAATGTGTGATTCTTCTTAGATTGAGTTTTTTCTTTCTGCAGGAAGGCTACCTTGTCTATGAGTGTAATGAAAGGTGCAACTGTAGTAGAACCTGTCCAAATAGAGTGTTGCAAAATGGAGTTCATGTGAAACTCGAAGTCTTCATGACAGAGACGAAGGCAATTTCTTCTTTATGCACCTTTTGTGCTTTCTTTCCTGCTAACTTGTATATAACCTTTAGTTTCCTAGTTAGTGTTTTCAGTAGTTTCTTATATGAAGTTGTAAAAACAACACAGGGATGGACAGTGAGGGCTGGTGAAGCCATACTGCGTGGCACGTTTGTTTGTGAGTACATTGGGGAGGTGCTGGAGGAGCAGGAAGCAAACAGGAGACGTGACAGGTTTGTATGATTTTTTGAAGTTCTCTTTAAAACCAGTTTTTTGTCTCTATATATGATCCATTGTATCTTTCATTAGGTATAACTGTGAAGGCAATGGCTATTTCTTGGATGTGGATGCTCATATTAATGACATTAGCAGATTAATTGAAGGATCGGCTAGATATATTATTGATGCCACAAATTATGGAAATGTTTCGAGATTCATAAATCACAGGTGAGCAGAGATTTATGGTCCATGTGGTCGTTCCACTCGTACTGACATTTAGTAATTTTAGTCTGTATTTCTGAATCTTTTGTGACCAATTTAAGATCAATGTTGAGTATTGTTAGGAGAGGAGTCCCATATCGACTAATTAAGGGGTTGATCATGGTTATGGAGCATTTTAGGAAAACCAAAAGCAAAATCACGAGAGCTTATGCTCAAAGGACAATATCATACCATTATGGAGAGTCGTGATTCTTAACATGGTATCAGAGTCTATGCCCTTAATTTAGTCAAGTCAATAAAGTCCTCAAATGTCGAACAAAGAAGTTGTGAATCTCGAAGGTGTAGTCAAAAGTGACTAAAGTGTCGAACAAAGGGTGTACTTTGTTCAAGGGCTCTAAAGAAGGAGTCGAACCTCGATTAAGGAGAGGTTGTTCGAGAGTTCCATAGGCCTCAAGAGAGGCTCTATTGTGTACTTTGTTCGAGGGGAGGATTGTTGAGGATTGTTGGGAGAGGAGTTCCACGTCGACTAATTAAAGGGGTTGATCATGGGTTTATAAGTAAGGAATACAACTCCACTGGTACGAGGCCTTTTGGGGAAACCAAAAGCAAAGCCATGAGAGCTTATGCTCAAAGTGGACAAATATCATACCATTGTAGAGGGTCGTAATTTCTAACAGGCTACTGGTGTTATTTACCTTTAATTTTTTTTATGCTAAGGTTCTTCATTTATCTATTAGCATATAACTTATTGTATTGTTAACAATTATATTATTTATGAATTGTTTTGTATTATCATTCAACGTGAAGTTTTGGTAGTCAGTTAATGTTATCTTGTGCATTGTCAAGAGGCGTACTTCTCTACTCTATTACAATTGAAAATCTTCATTGTTTGCAGTTGCTCACCAAATCTAGTAGCTTACCAAGTCCTTGTCGAAAGCATGGAATATCAGCGTTCACACATTGGATTGTATGCGAACCGGGATGTAAGTGCTTGCTTTGATAGTATATGACGACTTTCAGAGTATATTTCAGTTTCTAATTATTCTGCAACTGGTTTTAACTTCTGGGATACATATACCAACCAAGTTTAGGATCTTTCATTGATTTTCTACTCGTCGCCTTCGTTTTATTACCTAGTGAGCCTTAACTTGCGATCTATGTTAAGAATCTTATTCCGGAAACATTTCAAAGACGATCTTCATACGAAGATTTGTACACATATTTGTGCAGATAGCTACTGGTGAAGAGCTGACATTCAATTATCGACGCGAGCAATCGCCTGGAGGAAATGGCTGTGAATCTTCAAGTTGCTGAGGCCACCTTATATTAAAACATTTGAAGAACATGTAAACCTATCATTCGAGGGAAAAAGATCTGGAGCTTTATATTTTGGTAAGAGGAGCAAGAGACCAATCTGAAAGCGCATGCCTTGCAGATTTTGTGGATTATTTAAAGTCTTATGCCTCATCTAAGCAAGCAACTCCCTCAGCCTGAAATGTTGGAATCAGAGGAAAGTGGTAAATTTTCTGTATGTAGGAACTTGTTACCGATACGAAAAATGGCCGATGCCTTCTAACCTTCTCTAGTTTGTAATTTCGTCGTGTTTATCTTATTTTCACTTCTGGATCAACTTAGTTTAGCAAATTGTAAATGCCTTTTTTGTTCACCAACCAAAGTTTAAGGAAGTTTGAGGAATAAATATTTTCCTTCTCTCTTTTTAGCTACTGTGATGGGTTGTTTTAAAGTGTATCGTAATTCATGACTGTGGCAGATCATCCAATATAATTGTTCATCAGAATAGATCACTTTTATCAAGTTTTTTCGTTATAAATTGGAAAATACATTGATCTGAAGAACATTCTCTCCCTCCTTTTGAAGTTTCTCTTGTAACATTTTGTCCAACATGATTCAGAAGTTCATTTTGCCCATTTGAACCAAGAAGAAGAAAATGGGAAGTCCATAACTAAATGCCACCAATGATGCCATTCCTGCAACCATATTTCCAGACCCGAAAATCAGATATAAAAAGTGCAAGGACTAAAATGAAAAAGATCGATCGTAGGTTGATAGATCGAGCTAGCCTTACCGTGCGAGACATATCTTGAAAACACTCTTTCCCCTTTTCTTGTTCTGATTGATGATGATGATTCTGCTATCAGGTGCAAAACCATGGAAGACACAACCAACCCACTTCCTGTTTTCTCCCTTACCACTCTCTCACTTAAATCTAGAGAGAGAAACCCTGCAATTCCATGCACAAAATCCTCTGCTACCACCTTCACCCACAAACATATTCCAAGTCCCAGTGTTGCCTTAGCAACATAAGCCACGCCTTCTAAGGAGACATCCCAGTTGAGAAGATTCACAGCACAAGCACATCCATATAGTGGAATCCACAAATACCAATCTGTCGAATAGCTATCTATTTAGATCTGTTCGTTTTCCTAACACAATTTCAACCAGTTTATGAAGATAATCTAATTTTTATTGAGCTTTTTTGTTTTCAGATCATCATCAACAGGAAGTAACCTAAGAAATTGAAAAGTTTGGATCTTCATTTGGCAGTTTGTTAATTGAAGGATAATAAGAAAAGGGTTTGGAGTACCAGGATCGTTAAACTGAACAGCTGTGGAATAAGCAAACAGAAACGCCATTAACAGAGAGCAGCAACTGTATAACTTGGATGGTGTTGCCATTTTTCTCTTTTTCTCCAGAGCTTATCCGATCGAACAGCAACTCTTTATGGGTCAACGCCAAACCATAAGTTTTAGTTGTATCTGACATGGCTTAAAGTTCCTTTCATTGGTTGAAAATTAATATCACTCACATGGGTTTGGTGGAAAGTTGAAAACTAATCCATCTTTAAGGTTTTTTAATCAAAGATTAATGGAAAAGTGAAGAAAAAAAAGTTGAAAGAACTTAAAATGACTGTTTTTAAGGTTAAATTTTAAGGCAGCCCAAGTAAACTAGATAAGAACATTTCTTTGAGTACTCAAATAATTATGAGTGTTCATTTGAGGAGTGAGAATAAGAACAAATGATGAGGAGGAGGAGTGAGAAAGGAATATGGAAGAGAAGGTGCATGAATAATACAGGGCATGCAATAGCTTGTGATTTGGCAGCAGAAACATTATTCTTTTTGCATGGTCCTTGTCCTGTTTTGTTTGTGCTAAAAGATTCTCTGTGTTTTGTCTATGTTTTGTGACATTTCTGCTTGAAAACCATTGATGAATGAAACAAAAGAAAAGTTGAAGTTGTATGAATTGGAGTAAGAAGAAGGCAGCTGAAGTTGCAGTAAATGTAGCTGTTTTACCAAACCAAAAGCTTTCTGGTTTCTATGCTATGCTGTAAGATGTAACAAAAAGATAAATAAGGATAGTTTCGTTGTATACATCATTCCACATTGATTGAAAAAGATAACGAAATATTTCTTGTAAGGGTGTGGAAACCTCCCTTAGTAGATGCGTTTTAAAACTATGAGGCTAACGACAATATGTAACAGGCCAAAACGAACATTTCAACGTATATAACTACCTATATCAACGAAATTGAGACGATAAAATTGTCAAGGTAGACAGTAATAAGATTATTTGTGACGTACTAGGCTTGTATATGATTTCAATCAAACGCTTGCATTTATGAACACGAGACCCTTATCATTATTTATCGAACAAAGTCACATTACCGAAACCGATATAGAAATTTTAAAATGGTTTTGATATATCAAATAAGTTGGAGAAGAAAGGCCATTAATTCCTTTCTTTCCCCATAATGTGGCCCCTTCTACCCATGTACTCTTTTATAATGAAGAGAGTAGGTGGAGACATCATATTAATGTTATCGAAGGGGACACCACTTCTTAAGTAAAGACCCACTCTAATGAGCACACATGAACATGAACGTAATAAACGATATTGAATAGGGATCACCATTTATATCATAACCTACCTAAGAAGCTCTTGAAAATGATTGATGTTTAACGATGACATCTAAATCAAATATCATGATACTTATTCGATAAACCATTCCTAAATCAGTATGGATTTTGTATCAAGCTCAAAACCCACGAAAATGAAAATGAGGAAGTATGGTTGAGCTGAACTATACGTAGGCCATTAGAACTGTTAGTTCGAAAAGCTTTATAGCTCCATAACTCTAACAACCTATACTCTCTACCAAAATATCTTGCACGGGATTTTCAAACCACCCGATGCAGGTTGTAGGCGAGCTTCAGGGGAAAGGAAAGACGTTAGAAATTAAAAAGAGTATGTTGAAAGGAAAGGTTTTGCCAACGAGGCCACGTCCTTTGTAACATTTGGAGTAGTCGCCATTGGCCCATCTTCACTGCTCATCCATCTCTCTCAATTATTTCCCCTATATTTATTTCTTTCTTTTTTTTTAGTGAAATATTATGATTATATTCATTTAAAACTATTCATTAATTCCATTAAAAACAAAAATAATACCACACTCAATAATTGCACTCAAATTCCATTATAATTTATCATCCACAAAACCTATAATTCAAAATTATTAATAAATTAAAAAAAAAAAAAAAAAAAAAAAAAAAAAAAAAAAAAAAAAAAAACAGGTCAAGAAGCTTTCCCAAGACAATGTTTCATACTTTGTCATCTGATCTGTCTGCATGTGGTCATGTTGTCTTCTCTCTCTCTATCTAAACCAAAGACCGAAGAACAAAAAACAAGTGGAAGAGTGAAGAACAGAACAAAACAAGAAAACAAATATCTTCAAGAAGTTTTGAATTCTAAATGGTTGCTTAAAATATGGGCCCCAACATGGATTATTCACAAGAGATGTTAAACAAGTTTGATTTTGAAATAAAGAAATCATGCTTTGATTGGAGGAGAGCCTTAATGAAATTTGAGCTTTGACAAATGAGGTTGCTTTGGGGAAGATCAGGTACTTCTCAATTATTTTGAAATTTCTTTGACTTCAAATTATTTCTGTTGAATTCTTTTAATCCAAATCTCAGTTCCATAATTCCATTAGGCCCCACCAACATAATCAAATCGCTTTGGTTTGTTCTTAGTTAATTATGGGACCAACTCTCTAATCTCTTAATCAAAGTGTTTAAACTTGATTATCAAGTTCAACAACACCCACTAACCAGTATAGCTTCCACTGAGAAAAATCGAAGGAAAGAAAAATGGTGTGTTTCTGGAGATGCCCTTTTCCTCCATTATTGAGCTCGCAAATGAGCAATGTTGAGAAGGGCATTTCAGTCACTGTACTGACATTTTGATGCGGAGTGAAAGCGAAGGGGGTTCTTAATTTGGGGCATGCTTAGAATATCCACAGATATAACAAACAAAGCGATGTGGGAATCCAATAAAATTTGAAAAGTAGAGTTCGAAATGATGAGGAGGGGCGTGCCAGTTTGATTGATTACTGAGAAAGCTTCTTTGGTGTTTGATTACAGAGCAAAAAAGTTGTGCAAACTAATTCAGAGAGAGACCCACATCGAGATTCAATCATCAAAAGTGAGAAGAAGGCAAATCGGTAAGTGATAAAGTAGAGCCACACCCACCGCTTCGTTTCGCTTTTTTCTTTTGTGGGTCTTCTGGTTTTTTCTTTAATTCACAAAGTAAAAGCGTTTCTTCGCTAATTATTCCATTTACAAGGCTTTGTTCGTTGGTTCCCTTGATGCTCGACACCATAGCTTCCTTTTGAATCATATTACTCTGTCCTGGCTTCGAATAAGTGGTGGGTTTTCTCTGGCTTCTTAGGTCTTGATGGTATCGCATTAGCTGGTGAGTGAATGATCAAATTCAGTACGCGGGTGTTCGAGTTTTTTTAGGTTTTCTTATGTGTGAGGCTGCGAATCTCTTGGTGATGCTTTAATGCTTTCGATTCTGGAGCTAATACGAATACTAAGTGTTCTTCTTCCATTTCGCCTTCAGTTTCATATTTCTTATGAATTTAGATCCAATGTCGTCTGATCTGATGTTCTTCAAAGCTTGGAGTCTTTGATTCAGAAAGTAGAAGGCTGTAAGTTCCCATTATCTTGCTTTTCTTTTCTTGAGTAGAAAGTTTTTGCGGCTGTTCTTAGGCGCTCTGTATCTTTTGTTCTTAATGATCCGTTTCCCCATTGTTACACAAGCTGCAGTAAATCAATAAGAATGGCTGAAATAAGGTTGAGTAGGTTAGAACAAGGCCAAACCAAGATTAAAAATGTGCCAATTGCTGTAACCCCAGAAGGGTTTTGGTGTTGCCCTTCTCCTGTTGTCTTCCAAAAGTCCCTCAAAAATCAACATCCTCTAAACAAGCCCAAACCTCCCTCCCCACCTCCTAAGATCCCTGTCGAGAAGAAACCAACCCTCGTGACTGATAGAAAGCTTCCAGTGCTCACGAGATCACGGTCGGCTGCTGTTTCTGATGACGACCGAAAAGGCAATGCTGATACTTCTGGCTTTAGTGCTCCAGAGGTTGTACACAGGGTATCACGGCCTAAGGTTGAAAATATGCCAAGGAAAATAGCAATTGAGTTTGGTGAGCCAGGGACTAGTAATATAAAGGTCGTTTTACTCGGGAAGCAAGGATTTTCGGTAAAGTTAAGCGTTCATAAGAACGTGTTGATGGATAATAGTACTTTTTTTGCTAATAAACTTTCTGATCAAGAAGGCTCCTCCATGGAAATTGGTGATTGCGAAGATGTTGAAATATATGTTGAAACTGTGGGATTGATGTACTGCAAAGAAA